CGTGTGCACCCTGTGTTGGGGGCACAGCTTCGAGCATAAACCTAACTTTATTTGATTTTCAGCTGTTCCTGGCCAAGAAAGAGCCCCGTATATAGGTTTGTGTACGGATTAAATGAATGAATGCTTTTAGAGGTGCTTTAGACAAAGCCATGCTAGCCTTTTCCCCGTTTCTAGAGCTAAGCTAAACTATCCAGCTGCTGGTTCCAGCTTCACATTTAACATACACAAGAGGCATCAATACTCTCATTTAACTCTTTTCCCAAAACTTAAATCGCTATGGTTATTTAAAAATGTGACATATGCTCTGGTTCCAGCTTTTCACATGAGAGGATTTGCACTTTTCTCTCTTTTATATCACTGCAAATTGAACGTCTTTGGGTTTTGGGCTGTCGGCCAAGGACATCTGAGGACTCCACCCTAGGAAACTATGAAGGATATTTATTGTTATCTTCAGACATTTTATCGACCAAACAATTAATCAAGTGGACATCAACAATAATACGAGCTGATTAATGAATAGCTAAAACAATCATTAGTTGCAGCTGCATGTGAAGGATGAAACAATGCAAATTTATCTTTAAATGTTCTTCAGTGAAAGTCGCGACACTTGAAACAAGAATGTCACTAGACTGTCTGTCCCCGTTTCACATCCCCAGAACTGAGAATACAATGAATGAATCTGTGAAATGCATTATATCTTTTCTTCTGTCCATTGTTCAGAGGGGCGTCCCACCGGAAAGCATGACATTCCTTTCTGATTCAGTAAAGCCACTGCTGACATTTCGTGCAGACAGATTGGTGTCAACGACTGGGGATGAATGTAAATTATCTGTTTAGATTCACACAATACACTGATTCAACTTATTGTTGCATGGAGAGATACGCAGTAAATTCACCTTTTCGCTCCATGCCCACAACCCGATGCCGAGGAACGCCACTCCAAGGAACTAAACAGCAAACAAAGAAGGAGACAAGAGAGCAGGATTATTTTGCTGTGACTGCAACATGTAGTCATCACACATAAGCATAGAGAGAAACCACAGAGAGATTTTCCTGGCAGTGGTCCATTACTTAGTATTTCTCATCTCCGTCTGCAGTATCTGCAGGAGACTCCCACATTAGAAAGCATCTTTCAACAGCCTGAACGCATTATGACTGAACAAGTTTCCACCTACAGTGTACACTCTAAAAGTTCAACACCACATTTCAGGATTTACAAAGTTAGTAATAAAGGAACTGATGGCATTTTGCAATTGGCTGACAGCATTGCATTTTGATATAAAGCACATTAGACTTCACTGTAAATACAACAGGTATGAAAATGTCTAAATTATAAAGATTTTGGTAATTTTTTAAAACACAAATTTTCTGGTTACAGGTTAACAAGTGCTTAGATCAGCTTTTGTTTTATTCATAGAGTTTGATGAAATATGCCTCGGCTCTAAAAACTTTAAATGTGTAGGTTTGTATCTCTTGGGTTAATTGTAAAATGTATCATTGAAACACTGATGTGGTTTATTGATCCAATACCGTAGGCTGTGGGAACATATTGACATGACAACTCTCCATAACAACTGAGCAAGCTCTTACTGCTGATGAAGACCGCAAGATGTGGTTAGAAACTCTAGAATTAACTAGTAAGTGGAGCTTGTGCTCATAATATTTTGTCAGCCTTGTAACATATAGTTTGGACATCATAAATTACACACTGTAAAACTTCACAATGTCATAAAAACCCACTTGGTAAGACTAACTACACTATTCTAAGTTAACACGTAATGATGCTCTTTAAAGGACTGTTAACCTTTCATTAGAGCAATTTACACACTGGGTCCTCGTTAAAGTTATTTTTTCTTCTAATTAGATTAAGCACTTTGCAGATTAACTTCTCAAGTGATTATTAGTGAAAGAGTTGCAATGGAAAAAGGAAGACAGATGCTTTTGACAGAGCCAACTTCCTCTGATGATATATGAGTAATGAAGGGATCAGAGGGGTCACTGACTGATAGGCCTGACAGGTGGCCTTCCTCTTCATCACTCTGAGGTCCGTGAGGGGCCACAGGTATACCGGCTTCATTTATGGCACATTCAAAAAGGAGTAAGCGATATGACGATATATATAAATCACCTGTCAGACATTTTTCTCTACTGTTTGTGATGGTTCTTGTGAGTCAATGGGGCCTTTCTCACAGGAGACATTTTGACATGTCACAGTAGGAATAGTGAGTGTAAACTATCAAAATAATGATGGATGTATTCCATTTAGCTGCTTCAGTTTCAGGGTCCCTGTCTTGCTCATGTTGGCTTACTAACTGTCATGATCACAATCACAATATCACAACATCACAATACATACTGATTCGACCTGCCACAATTAGTCAATCTACAGAAAATTAACTAGCAACAATTCTAAACATGTATTAATCATTGTAGTCAGTTCTGAAGGAAAAATTCAAACCATTTTCTGGTTCCAGCTTCTTAAATGGGAGGCTTTTCTTTTTGTAATATCATTATAAAAAGAAACTACACTGTTGGTTGGTGTTGACTGAGAATTTTCATTATCAATACATTCTGAATCCATCTTTTTTTTTCTATTAAGAGAACATTTAATCTATGGAACATCAGAAAATGGTTAAACATGCTCATCACAGCTTCCCCAAACCATACATTTTCCATTTACTGTAATTTAAGACCCAGAAAAGCAGTTAGTTCTCACATTTGGGAGGCTGGAACCATCAAACCTTTGGCATTTTTGCTTGAAAAATGGCTTAAACAACTGATCTACTGTAGTCAACTAATCGTTGCATCTCGGATATAGGCCTCACCCACTCCTCATTTCATATAAGGCATATTTTAATACTTTAATTGATGACTTGATGAATGACATTACTGAAGCCATTTGTTATTCCAATAATAACTCTTTTATAAAGCACACCTTACCCGTCTTCTTCTCCAGTAAAACAACCAAGTAGCCTTAAAATGAATAACTGGGGGGCCCAAAGTGGGACGTCCAGAAGCCCTTGGTGGGGTTACTGGTGGGTCCAAAACACAAAAGGAGGTGTTTGTTTTTCCTGTGAATTCACTCAGTAGAGGATCACCAGGGCTGAAAATGATTTCTCCCCCTGCCCAAATACCACTGACACTGACATTAAAATGCCCTCAGATTAAGGGTACCCCGATGTAAACAAAGAGAATTCATCTCACAGTGAGGAAAGCCCTTCATCACACTCTCTCACACGGATGCTGTCTACACAAAAACAAAAGGTGAGAGGTGACAGTGGGAGCAAGTGCACAGGAGTCAGTGAGCCCATCGCAGGGATGCAACCATCCATGTCTCCTACAAAGAAAAAACAATGGGACAAAAAAAAAGAAAAAGACACATCTGATGCAGAAATAAACGCTTATAGTTGATGGAGAACAAAAAAGATGCAAGTGCATTAAGCTGACGGATACAAGGCCCGAAGTCATAAACAGCAAACAGGGGGGACTTACCCAGAATATTATGTTGAATCCGAAGATGAAATACTTGATGCAGCAGCTCACTTCATGAGCCTTGAAATGCTTTCCTGACATCATTTGGATGGATCTTTTGTTTCAAACGCCGCCCGCAGTGGGAAGGAATCTCATCTATGGTCCTCTTATGTTTGACAGCGCTGGTTGTGGAAACACCTTTTTTTTTATTTTCCCAAGGCTCGACAAACGCGCCGTCAGTTGTTTTTAGCGTCTAATTATAAACATCATCCTGTATTTTTCCGCTGACAAAAGGCGCAGCTGGAGAGCCGCAGAGGAGCGTTTATTCCCTCACTGTCTGCGGAGGTAGCGGTTTATTCCCGATGTGGATCTCCAGAAGGTATAACGGTGAAATAAAACCACAGAAGTCAACCAGATTAAAGCCGATGGTCTTCTATCTGACCCATAATCTAGACATGGCTGTTATTTGAGCGTCATGTAACGGAACCAATGAGGGTCTTCAGTGGTCGCAGGAGGCGGGACTTCCTCCAGCAGAGGGCGTCACTGCCCTCGGATGACCATGACATACAGTATGCCATGATATTTAATGCCTTACAGTATCATTTAGTCACCACTGAGTAATAGATTTGGTTTATAATAGAAAATGAAATAAAAATTAAACCTTATCAGACATAAAACGTTCAATGCTGAATAAATAAATTAGACTAACTAGAATAATTAATCGCATGACAACCAAAAAGAAAGGGAAACAACATGAAATCCCTTTAAATGTCAGCTCATTAGTATAAATTCTAATGTCATCCATCTTTTTTTCCCCCAATAACAACATTTGTTGAAGGTCATTTAATTTTATTCCAGCAGTTTCTGTCTCACAATGACCTTTCACCCCCTGAATTTCATTTCATAATGCACCTTCTAATAACAAAGTCTATGTCTGTCAGTCAACAGACTTTGAAAAAGCGGTAGCTTGATATAAAACCTGCTGGTATCAAATGAAAAAAAAAATATATATATCTTAAACAATCTACTTAATGGTATATTTCTGTTACATTCTAACATAGTGTGTGTTTTAGTTCATAGGCCCAACTTTAGGATATAAATTATAACTTTAACACCCTCTAACTTCTGCAATCTATGTTTTAAAATATCCTTAATGACAAGAAGAACAAATCCCAAAACAGAATTAAAGCAGAATTGATGGCCTATCACATTTCAGTTTATATTTACACATCTGTAAGGATCTAGTTCATATTTGCTTTATTCACTGTGGAGCCTTTAGTTACAGTGTGTGGTTCTGGTGGTGGGTTCTGTGTAAGTGTCTGTAAGACACTGATAAGCCTGCTGTTAAGGACTATAAACTACTTCTAGAGTTCTTAATGGTGAGACAGCCCACTTTGCCCCCTGGTGGCAAAAAGGCTCACTGTCCTAACATTGCTTAATACATGAAAGACACATGAAGTTACAAAATGTATAATTGACCTTCCCAACAAGATATAGTGTGTGATTTGTAAAATAAACGCCAGTAATCATTTTGAGTATTGTCTTGGTTTATTGCATAAAACTAAAAATAAAATAAAGCACTAATGTTCTAATCTATTACAAATAATCGTTTACAAAACAGGATAAATTATGAAAATAAATATTTCTGTGCAGTTCGTCTGTATTGTCAATGCAGGCAGAAAAAAAACTGAGGAGATTTATTTACACAGTCCATAAAGTCCTTAAAAATAGACTTTATAAGCTCATAATAATATCTCATGCCAAGACAAATATCACGATGCAGAGGGCAGCACTAAACAGGCTGTCCTGTTCACACAAACTCCTTTATCTGAGGGTGACTCACTGACTTCATACAAACAGTCCACCATCATGGATCAGATGCATGGTTCAATATGATTTGCAGCACAATATAAGTATTCTTGGGCAATACAACAGCTTTGTTCACAGTGTCAATACTGTCCGCTAAGTTTCTCCTAAGATAACATAAAAAAAAAAACCAACAACAACTGTTTTTTAAGAATGTTTGGCAATACAAAGGTAGTGATCATGCAATATGAAAAATTCAACCTTCATTTTTGGCTACACATTATTTAGAAAAATATAAATTGTGTTTTGATTTCTCAAAATACTTAATTTTGTTCAAAAAATAACACTTCAGAATCTCACAAAAATAGTTGTTTTGTCTTTGTAAATCATGATAGCTCATTTGACCCTTCATGTGTGCTATTTTAGCGGTTTGAGTTCCCAGAAGCCTCTGCAGGAGGACAGGACTAAAATAATGTTAGTTAAACAGCTTGAGGCAGTTTTCAAGAACAACATCTAAAACAATGGTCTGTGGTGAAAAAGGCTTTGGTGCTCTTTGTCTTTTAGGGTTAGTGTTTAGCTTTGCATCATGCTTCCCTTTTATATTCTGCACACAGAATTTCTGCTCATTTCTGTCAAAATGAAAACTGATAAATTAGACAAAGTCAGAGGTAATAAAACCTTATCTGTCCCACAACTTCTCCTGCTGTAACCTAAACCTCATTTGCATTTATTATTATTCAATGCAATCATTACACTGCATTTCCCCTTTAAGAGCAAACAGTTCAAGATACATAACTAATACAAGTAGTCCATTGTCTTGTTCGATTAAGGCTTTTTGCACAGTTGTCATAGTTTCAATAATATTTAGCACAAAGTCTAAACAAAGAAAAATACTGAGCCTAGAATAAATAACCCTGAAAAGCAGTTTAAGAGTTGAGACATCTGGGTGAAGAAATCTGCAGTGAAAACTGAAGCATAAAAGCTGTACATTAGCAAGCAAATATCCGAGTAAATAATTGTCATTATCATGTTTTTAAAATGCTAAGCAGTGTGTATTTACCCAAAGGCTTTGAGAACCATTCTTCATTTTGTGCAAAATAATAGATTTTTTCCTTGAATAGTCAATCATATTTCAATACATTTTGATTTCCCATTCTGTTTTCTTTTTCTTTGGATTTTGCCCAATAAACAAATGGTACCTATTTATTTAGTAACATATGAATGATATGGAAAATAACTGCATATTACATAGTTAGTTAACAAAATATACACAGGAATATATTAAACACATTTCTCGTATACTATCTTGAACAATCACAATGGCATGCTGGAAGGAAAACATAGCACACCCATGAGAGAAAGAAGCCTATTGTTGTTTCTGATGTTTTAACTTAAAATGTCCGTCGCCAAAGAGGGCAGGTACAACAGCCTGAATCCATGATGTATCTAAAACACATAAGGCTTTGTGTATAATACCTTATTATAACACTTCTTATGAAACAGCTTATTGATTCATTGAGCATAGTAAGATTGGCAAAGCAATATAATACAAAGCTTTAATACTTAATGCATTAATCACAGTTAATGAATCCAGTGCTTTATTGTTTCTAAACATGGTTTCATAATGGCCAGACTGCACCTATGAGATGCTATATTCATGTTTATAAAGGCAACATAATGCTTTATAATGAGGTTTTCGGAGTTCCTATAAAATGTACAAAATCTTCTCCTTAAAGAAGACTTAAATGCATAATACTAATACTAACACATATGACCGCCTAAGCAAAGCCTGAGAAGGCGTTAGGAACACTGTAAAGGTTTCTTGGCTTTGATACTATTGTGTGTCATAGTGTGTCACCCTATGTCATGTTAGACTAACTGTGACACCTTTTGTTCTTTGACAAATCTGCATAAACACTACTGTCTAGTGAAAACCAGACATGGGACAGAAAAACCAAAAAATCTTCACGGTTGGCCAATATGTGCATCACCTACATCACCCAGTCACAGGAAGGTGAGAAGTTTTGGGGGCACAACCAACACAGCGCCACGCTCAGGTCACCTTAGGTCACCTTGATCGTTGACTTCTTGTGGACGCAGAGGAAGGAAATGTAGGGCACACCAATGAAGGCCCATTTCTCGTTGGGCCAGAACATGATGACGGGTCCTCGCTCCGGGGCCTCGGACGCGACGTCAAAGTAGGCAAAGCAAACGCAACCCAAGTAGGAAGCCAGACAAATGAGGATGTGCCTGGAAGAGCAAGAGGAGTCTGAATGAAACAAACTGCCTGAGAAAGGGTTGATTTTTGTCTCTAATGTCTTTGAAAAAACAAACTCAACAGTCTCCCAGTACAGTAAGAATATTTCTAATTGTTTTCAATGTAAATCACCTTGTTTATGGATGACTATAGCTGTACATTCAACATATGCTTTATACTTCTTACTGTAAAATTTTAAATAAATCACTTGGTCAACATTTTAAACATTCCATCCTTTTCATTTGTAACACTGTACAGCTTTATTCTTTAAAAAACAGAAACATTTTTACATATTTTTAATATAGTTTTATTGTAAATGTTTCAATTTTTGACTGTTGTAGTACTTGTTTTTTAATTTTCCTTTTTTCTTTCTATGTTTATATATTATTTTTATTGTTATTCACCAATATATCGAGGCAAATTCCTTATATGTGAAAACCTACTTGGCAATAAACATGATCCTTATTTCTGTTATTTTGCAATTGGCTTGAAACAAGTTTTTTACTTGTTTTTTGAGATTAAGATTAAAAGATTTCACACATTATAGATGGACACAAAAGTGCCTAAACTGTCCATAATTGATAATAATGAACAATACTGACTCTGAGTCGTCTTTGAGCTTACCAAGCACAGTGTAAGTAGGGAAAGTTGACAGATGACCACATTTCACAGAATATCCTGTCACTGATCCAGCAAAGCAAAGCCAGTGCCCACCAGATCCCTGAGACCAGGCCCAACTTGAACACACGTGGGTTTTCACACCTGCAATGACCAAACACAGCACTGAGAAATGTGTGCAACTGTGAAAACACACACAAATACACACTCAACCTTTAGACAGCTGAAATACAACCAAAAGCAGACTTACAAATAATGCCTGACCTATGATGCAGTTCATTCTTACATATTGACATTATCATCCAGGAACAAACAGTTCACTTTTTTGTATTTTTTCCACTGATTTCATTAAATGCGCTTAGTCTTGTGTTTGCAAACTTTAGTGTGTATGACTTTTCTATGCAAATAAACAAACCAAAAAAATATTTTAAAAATATTTTTGGGGCTTCTATTGCCTTTAATGTATAGTGACAGCTGAGGAGTGACAGGAAAGGGGGGAGGGGACGACGGAAAGCAAAGGGTCACAGTTCGTACTCCTGTGCCGCTGCAGCAAGGACTTAGGCCTTGGTACATGGGGCACCAGCTCTATATATTTTTATTTTATTTAAGTTGATATAGCTCCCTCTTTACACATCCAGCAGACACTGAGCAACATAACATTCACTTCGAGGGTGTTTGTTTCCAACTGATAAGTGCGAGTCCGACATTCGCTCTCCTTTAAGATCTGTGTTTGATCTCCAATAACTGCATTAACTAATATCTGATAAATGCTCCACTATGTTTCCCAGCTAGATGCTAAATTTGTCTGCCGTTTTGTAAATGTGTGAGTAATGTGCCAATTGATGATAAAATTATCATTTTAATACTAACAATACAACCTTATTGTCCACATTGGTGGAAACAAAGATGTATCGTAACAAGGTAAATAACATTAAGACACAAAACAAACAACAACATTATTCACAAACATAAACCATGGGATGTCCTCCACAAATACTTAGCTGATACAAGTAAGAATATAGCTGGTTCTGATTGCACTGGCTGTGTTGACCACTGTAGCTAGAGTGCTTTTATATTTACAACTGAGAAGTCCAGACCAGGATGGTAAATTGTAGGTTACCATGTTTATTCTTAAAAAAACAGAGCATTATCTCCCTTTCAATCGTTGGGATCTGAAGTACCCAAAGTAAGTATTCTGGTCTACATCTCTGCACAAATATCTCCTGCTGGACACACCACTGACCTACAGAGACACGTGCTAATCCAGACTGCTGCTGATAAACTATTCTTAGTCTTGTCCTCCTTAGACACACCAGTCACTGCCCTGCTGCTGGCTGAGGCGAGCGCAGAGTGCCAAAACAAAGACTGGGGCAAGGAATCCTGACTGAACTGTGATGACGATAGTCACGGCGACAGTTTGTCACCTTCCCCTAAGACACAGCAGTCATACAATTTTACAAGAGTTTAATTTAAGTTACCATTGTTTCAAGGAGACAGGAATGTTTGAATGAAACCGTTCCCATTAAGCACAACACAATAATAACAACACAATTCAGATAAACAAGCATCACTCAGCTGCAGAGCCCATGGAAATGTTAAATACTAGTCCAAAGAGAAGGACTAGTGACGGCGGTGACAATGGAAAGAGAAGGAAAGAGATTTTGACATTTTAAAATTAGCTTATGTAACCTTTGCTGAACAGCAGCCAGTACGGCTGCCACAGGCAATTACAGGATCGTGTTTAAACCTGCAGTCACTGATGTTTTTGGTCACTTGGAGGCAGCGTAACAAGCTGAAAACATGTATGAATGTATTAGCAAAGAGTTTTGCACAAATTCTTATGTTATGGTCTGTGCCAACTCCTGAGGGATTTATCTGTCTCTTTACCTAGCGAGGTGCTCCACTATGTTTAATAGTTGGTTGCTTCCTTTGTCTGTCTGGTGGTAATTCTCTGAGTTTGTCACTACAAATGATTCCTTTCATTTTACATTACATTACATATAGTCAGCTGATCCATTGTTAATATAGAATATATTGATTTGTGCAGATTTAATGCTAAAAATGTAATGCAAGAGTATTTAAAGTCAGTAGCAAACTTTAGATGGAATTGTTCTGTAAAAAACATTAACCCCCATAAGCTACTGACTAAAAGGTTATAGCAGCAACTGACTGACTATATTAAATTGAGGAAGGAAGCATTTGAATGCTTATGAATTCAACTTTTCATTTGTAAGAGGAAGATTGTTTTAGTTTGTCTTTGAAAAGTTACATGGTCTGGTTTTTAAGTAAACTAATTAATGTTTTAACAATTGTTACATAATTGGGAGAGGGAGTAGAAAAAAAAAAAATGGTGACACGGCTACTCATTAGCAACAGGAAGTATAAAAATAGATGGTCAGTGATAGGTCTTCCCAGATGGGAAAAGGCCATTAAATTGTCATTGTCGAAAGTGTTTCGATCCACTACGTTCACATGGGATCAAATCTTAACCGTGCATCAAGTAGTTAGTCAGCTATGGGTTTAGTAACTGCCTTCACATACAGTACTACTGCATAAGTTGGCCAACACCCCTTCCTGCTAACAAACATGCACTGACAAAATCATCACCACACAGCCGGATATATGGGATAATGTGCTCCAACAGAAGCATGTAAGATAAGAAATGTGATATGAAACCAGGGCTTCTCCTCAGAGATGCAGTGTTACTGAGTGTGATGGAGAATTAGACTGTTGGAGGCAAAGATAAGTGAAGGAAAGGCCAGTTTGTCTATCTGGGGTGAAGCACTGCTGAGAGGCTTCGCTCACTCAAGGGAAAAGAAAGGAAGAGGCGCCACTGGTTCAGTGAAACTGATATTTATCAGACACAATGGAGATGAGTTTTCATCCACTGGTTCTAACGATATAAAGGCATGGCTAGCATATTAGAGGTCAATATATTAAACAATGTTAAACTGAAATAATTCAGTATTGTTCATACAGTATTTTGAAAGTTGAAATGATCATGAACTTCTTTCGATCATGATATGCACAGATCAGCATTTCATTTAGTTCATTACATTTGAATCTTATTGTTTGGTTACATGGAAATCTGGGATCATGGCAACATAATTTCTGACAAGGCACGAACCACGCTGTCTGAAAACCTGACTGGTTGTAATTATCTAAAATCACTGTATTCTGAGGTAAAGTGAGCATGTCCACAGTGTTCCAGTTCACTGGGACAATGTGTTAGCACACAGCTGTATGGTTGAGTTAAAGCAGGTCAGTCTGTTAACTCTGATTATTTTGGGGCCATTTGCCTTTACTGGACAGGTCACAGAACCGAAAATGATGAAGAAGAAACCTACCCAGGTTTTAGGATAGTATTTATTTTGCAGATTGGTGCATATGAAGGTGTGTGCACAAATATATATTTATGTATGTAATACTTGTTCCCCCAAATATCATTTTATATGCTTTATATTTTAGAGCTATTTGTTTAGAGACAGCGGAGAGTAAAATAACAAGGGCCTTGACTTAAGGACAATATCTGCTGTTTGATTTTAAGTTTTAAATAATAAATAGCTGATGTAATACAGGCTATGATGGTATCCACAGATTATTTTTACAATGTGAAAATTAACTCTGTTCTCGCATGCACAAACTAATTTTTCCGAAACAATCACTGTTTGTTGTTTTGTATCATACCTGTCTTTTATAAAAAAAACTCTGCTACTACTACACAACTATGACTGGTATTATTGCTTCAACACTTGTACTATACGTTGTATAATATTTGTGATGGATATCCTATACACCAGACGAGTTGTTTTTGTCCAACTGGAAGTGACCTGAATGGGGGCTAACAGGCGTACTGTAAAAAGCAAAAAAAAAAGAGCAAACAACAACAAAACAGTCTGTCGTTTCTGAGGGCAAAAGTCCATCAGCCAGGGCCACAGGAATTCCCTCCCTCTTGGCAGAACAAAAACAAGCCGTCTCTATGGATGACTGGCACTTGCAGTAATGTCAAGAATTGCTAACAGGTTGAACAATAGATGACTGAAGGTTAAAAGACTGACGGTGGTGAGTAAGGGATGTGGGAAACGGAAACAACAGCAGCTCCACATTAGTGTGACGGAAGAAAGCTTCAGACTCAAACACACATAACTGGGCATGAGTGGCTTGTTGTGTGTTTTCAGGAACATTCTTTCACATCATAACGCCCGATAGTTAGCTAGGAACAGGCAACATGTCATTATACAATGTAAGTACAAAAGGCCGAAGGTGACGTGTTAATGCATTGCAGACTGCAGATACTACATCCTGACATGATAACAACTTAACATTACAGCAGCTGATTTAACTGACTAGACGCATTTGAACCAAAGACATGCTCATTGATATCAGCTGCTGTATAAAGTTCAAACTTAGACTTGTTAAAGCATAAATTTTCAGATGGTGGAGATTTAAAAATGAGTTGCAATCTTATGAAGAGTTAAAATGTGTACATTTAAGATCTTTAAATGCACTGGTAATGACAATCTAATTATATGAACTACTGAAAAGATACTATTAACTTCTTTCTTTTTTCTTTTGTGTGTTATTATGTTACATACTACGTGTTATTATGTTATGTCTTTTGTGGGGTTAGATTGTCATGTTATAATTGCCTTCTGTGGTACATGTATTATTTGCCTGTATTATTATCTTTTTTAATGAGCTCAGCTGGTGTAACTGCTGCGTAGCTAACGTTAGCTTGCCAATATATGATCTCTTTAGAGTCCAAGAGGTAATGGAGTATGGTCAGTACATCTAAACTGTGTAATAATAGTGTAAATAGCATTTATTTCTATATTACATTTCACAAAAATAAACCCTCAAATTACAAACCCAACATTATCATTATCTACGTTAGGACTAAATGACCGAATACTCTCAGAAAAGTTAGTATAACTGGATATCTACCATTCAAACAAAACAAAGCCATACCTACATTTACAAAGAATTGTGTGGTAAGTAAATGTATTATTCCCCCCCTAAAATGTTTCACGTGGAAGTTATGTTACATCCTGTAGAGCTACAGTGGCTATATATCTGCAGTACATAGATACACAGTTGTTAATTGCTTTTGATTGGATGCGCTTCAGATGTTTCCTAGCAACTGATTCACACATTAATTAAGTTTTAAAAGGTGGTGAACCCTATTTAGCACATCACCAGCCAGCAGTGATCTCTAACTTGATCACTGTGATAAAGATTTTCAACTCAAGGGTCACTTACTTAGCTTTTTGCGGGAACTTTTGGCCACATCCCACAGTATTTTTGGGTGGAAGTTCCAAGGCTAAGTAAATAAACCTCAAGTTTAGAGTTTAATCAAACTTGCAATTACAAGAATTCTGAGAGACACAAACCGCAACAGATTTCCGAGGAATGCTGCAACCGACTTGTGTTGAATGAACTGTGCTGCTTGCACATGCAGACAATCAAACATCCCACAATCCCAAAGACTAAACCAGGACCATCATAGAATGAATCATGGTAGACAAAAAGGACATAGACATATTACTGAAAAAGGGCTTTTTTATAGAAGTCAATAAAAACAATTAAAAACTGGGATCTGTTCTGTGCTCCCTTGAAATCTAGTCCAGTCTATGAATAAAAAAGAAATCATGTGCTGCCCTCAATTTTACATGGTTTGTATCGACTTTTATAGAAGAGAACGTTCTCAGTTGGAGAAAATCGTGTTATTTTGTTTCTATGCACTCGCTGACATATTTCATCCCCTTCATAACTCCATCAGAAGATACATAGACACATACTATTATGGTCCTGGATCGGGGCTGCCCACACTCCCTATGACTGTTAGAAAACCCTTTTAACTTACCTTTTAAGCTCAGTAATGAGCAGCACGGTGCAGGGGATGCCCAGGGTCATGAGTGACAATGAGTTAACGACAGGTTTAACAAAGGCCAGCCCGGTGGTGATCCCTGACAATATGCCAATGACCACTTTGAACCTTGACCTAGATTGAAAAGCAGAAAAAAAACAAAAAATAGAAGTTTGCACTCTATGACCAACATTGTGAAATTCAAAAGGAATGTTGAAATGACTCAGGCTCTTTCCAGGACGCACCATAACACACTAACAACACAATAATAAACAAGAATCACTCAGTTACAAGGGGAATATTTTAAGTGTGACAGCTTGAAGTGAAAGAGCTGCCACGACGACTCTGTGACAATGGAAAGAGAAGTAAAGACATGTGATGCAGCTTTTACTGGTGTCAGCTATCTCAGACGGGCCTATTATTAAACAGGGAGTCATGAAGTGGAAACATCATATGACAAAACAGTGGCCAACAGCGAGCTCCACAGATGAAGCTGCTCAACACCAATACTGTCCTTCTACCGGAAACACTGGATGAAAGTGCTGTTTGCCTAATTGAAATCCATCAGTCAGTTGAAGGCACGTAAATTAACTGCTGTATTGATCAGCTGGAGTGAAAACCTGCATACGTAGTACATCTCATGCTCATAACAACACAAGTGCAATATGTAAATCACAGAAGTAAAATGTGCAACAAAGCAGCTTTATAATGAAGTACTGTAGTGCTGCAGTGAGATGCACTGGCCTTCAAATCTTGTTAAAACATATTTAAGCAAACATGTTTGTTTAGTACAGACCCCAATTAATGTCACATCATCATGACGATAATTGTTTTTGTCAGTAAAAATGGCAGTTTCAGTGAAAATTCTGATTGAATGAACAATGATCATTCGGACTACTCATGAATTATATCCCAATATCTGTCAAAATAATCCCAACATGATGATTTTTTTATCATATTGTGCAGCCCTATTCTAAAGCAGGGGTCTCAAACTCGAACTGGCTGGGGGCCCATTGCTGGCATTGTCAACTTCAATGTTTAACTACTAGAAGAAAGCACAATATTCTGAAAGTACAGCAGCTTCTATACAATTGTATATCATCTTTGTTGTTTGCAGCCAAAAAAACAACCATTTGCACGCATTTCTGGCGACCTTTGCCATAATTTAGTGCCAAAAAAAAAAAAAAAAGTTCTTAAAAACAGAATTGTGTTTTTATTTTGATTGTATAGTAAAGTCTAATTTAAATGAATATGAAACAACCAGAACAAAAATATAAATTTACATTAAAATTTTAAATTTAAATTATACTATATTTTGACATCATGTCACAGGCTGGAGGGGCCAGAAATGGCAGTTTGAGTCCCCTGTTCTACAGGTAGTAATCCTACATGTCAACATACCGATCCTTCCTGAACATCCTGGGTAGGTATCGCTTAGGAAACCACATGGCAATGGCACACATGAGCACCCATAGGATGGCCAACTCATCCAGCATTTGTCCGAGGAAGCTGAGGGTGGCATGAAAATATGTCGATCCAATACCTGAAAGAGACACAGAAGCAGAAAAAATGTCTGAACAACGTCAGATGACATCTCTATTCTGTGTTAAGAAGGATAGATTCATCAGATTGTGTCTTATATATTGTCCATTTGGAAAGAAAGTCAAAGTAATAACGTTTTATTTAGTCCTATTTATCAAATGGGATATGTAACCAGAAGTACAGTAAGTTGCAATGGTCACCTCTAAATGAGACCATTTCCAACATGCGTAAAAAAGTACCAAGTAACCAACTTCAGGGGTGTGAGGGACAGAGCTGACCACCAATCATCAATAAAGTTACTTTGTGCCAAAAGCAAAAGCACCTTATTGAGCAAACACTGAGAAATGTCTACTTTTTAAGGAAAGAAGCACAATAGAATTAACAAATTAACTGCAAATATTTACATGGAAACCAAGTGTTTGCTGTGAGTTTTAAAATGCGGTTGAGGAACGGATCAGTTAGTGCCTGTTTGTTATCACAGCCCAACAGACCTCCTATTATCAGCTTTATCTGTTTTGCTAACAGGCGCCGCAGGAGATTCCTACGTTTCATAAACTTCTTATCCAAAAAAAAGGGACTGCTGCTCAGTCAGAATTTACTGATCATGACAACCTGTCAATGTACTGTAAAAGCCCAACTATAATGGGTTCCAACTTCTCAAATGTAAATATTTGCTGCTTTTCTCCCTCCTCTAAGATAGTAAATACTTTGGGTTTCTGGAGCATTAATTGAACAAAACAAGACATCTGAAGGCATCCCGTTGGACAGGTTTGGGCAAATTGTGACAATTTTAAACAATTTTTTGACATTTTAAAGACCAAACAATCACAAGAAAAACACAAATTAGTGTACTGGTTGCAGGCAGTAATCCCAAACCATATGAAAGACAGTCCACACACAGCTGAGGCCAATACCAAAGTATCTATAGGGTTGTTTTCCTGCTCAGGTCAAAGGTCGTTCCGGCTACAGAGACAGAGGAAGACAGATGAAACCATGTAACTCTAAGTTTAAATAGCCTCCAGATTCCTAACAATGGATGCAGTCAGAGCTGCTGTGCCACGTACTGGAAGCCCTTGTGTTATGGAACGAGAGATTTATGAACTTCTGAGCCTGATAACTGCTTTAAAAGACAATATAAAACAAAGATAAACATGTCAGAGTGAGAATAAAGGAGCTATTTTACATCTGACCCATTGTTTAAGTTCTTGTGGCCAGTTCAGTTATGCAAAATCCAATTCAACAGCTACAGTTGTTTTCTATCATCCAGTAAGGTCACCTGTCGGGAACAGAGGGAGGTCTGTCAGGTTATCTTTGCTGACACTGCAACCAGCGTGTTTTCATAACATGCAGTATGGGAACAAGGCACTGTAATCTCTTTAGGACTGTCGTTTAAAACAGCAGCGCCGTTTAGGACCTAAATACTGTCAAATCAAATGAAACATAGGGCAATAGGCTTATTCATCCCAGCAATGAATGAGCCCAGTCATGTGAAGTGTTTTCATTTCTTAAGCGGGTAAAATGATGAAGCTATAACTGAGGACAGTGACGGAGGCCACACTGAGAAACCTACATCCTAACAGTGTAGCAGTTTTAAGTGTGAGCACTTAGACAGGAGTCATATCTTGTAAAACTCGTTTATGTGCTCAGTGATTGTGTGTGTCAGGGCTGCAACGACAAATCATTTTTTATTATCCATTAGTCTATTAGATCACCCTTTTGGTTTATAATAGATTATGAAACCTTTCACAATATCCTTAACCAAAGTTTACATATTTTAGTGTCTTGTTTTGTTCGAATAGCATTCAATTTACTATCATAAAAAACTAGAAAACAGCAAATATTCACATTTAAAAAGCTGGAACCAGTGACTTTTTGCTTTAAAAATGACTTTTAATCCATTATTAAACTCGTTGCCAGTTAATTCTGTCTAATGGATTAATTGGCAGCAGTAATGCTTAATCTCCCTCCCCACTCTAATGCAGGCTTTATATAATCAAGCACTACATACAGCATATCTAAAGCATGTTTTATATCAAATTCACTGTCATGTTACACATAACACTTTAGAAACGCAGAGATATGATGGATATATGCTTGGTTAGCTGTGTTGAAGTAAAATGAATGTCCTTCCACAAAAGCTAAGAAAGGTTAAGAGGTCATCAATGTCAGCAGACTTACCGACCACAACTAGCAGACTCCATATGAGGTAAATCCCACTGTTGAAATGTGTTGCATATTGGCGGAACAAGCACATTAATATGGGCGGCAAAACAAAAAACAAAATGTTGCTGATCTGAAATGATAAACAAAAGGGGAAAAGCTCATGAGCAAAGAAATACATCACAGTTGGAGCTGATCGTGTAGCTCAGTGACAACGTGCTTGTCAAAAGTTGATCAGCGTGCGGGCCTTGAACGCAACTGTCAGGCAGTGCGAAATGAAGAAAACAAGGAACATCTGTAACCTGAAACTAACAGTCATGATGCTGAAGCTGAAAAGCAGCCAGAACTGTTGAAGGTCAGTTGAACTTACAGCTAGCCAGAGCTAATACTAAAAAGACATAAGAAAGCAGTGCAATACGAAGAAAGAAACAAAGCCAGGGAAGCTGTAAACTGTAAACAAAACTGTATTAACGGCATGCAACAAAAAAAAACAAAAAAACAACAACAACAAAAACAAAAGTCCTTCACACCGACCGTGTTGTAAAACTCAGCGATGCTGGGGTAAATTAGGTAATTGCCTTCACACCAGTCCACCTCGGAGCTGCCTGCCTGCAGCTGGTCCCAAAAAATCACGTTACTCATGTCTGGACTTGTCGGATGGACAGTGCAGAGCAGACAACACTGCGAAGATTCAACAACAACAAAAACAACAAAAATAACACTGGGGAGGGAAAAAGTCGCGATCTCTCGGCCTCGTTGATCGAGCGCTAGATTGTAACGTTTGGGAGCTGGGACGTATTGCACATCCGACAGGGGGGTGAAGTACGTAAATCGTCGCTGGGCTGCATTTTAAAGCCCTCTGTCCGTCCACAAAAAGCCTCCTCGCTCGTTGTGACGCTCGGTGCTGTGCATTGACAGCTGCTCGGTCTGTGGCCAAAGAGCGTGCGAGCGCCGCGGGAGGGTTCACCCCCGTCTGCTTCCTGCTTCGTTGAAAGTGTGAGCGCACCCGGAAGGTCCTGTTTATTTTCCTCTTCTGGTATAAATACACCTTAAGTAACCAGCTAAGAGAGTGATTCATGACTTAAAGGAATGCACTAAATGGATAAACACGTACTGAAGGCAATTTTACATTAGGGGTTAAACCATATTGCATTACAAATGAAGGTATAACTTTTTTTTTTTTATCCCCCCACATGTTGAACCAAGTTTTGCTTTTGTTTTCACTTAAGTGCACTCTTGTGGTTTGATCATTTGTCAGCAGTGATGTAAAGTAACTACATACACTTACTGAAGTACTGAACTATTTTGAATGAACTATACATTTACCTGTACTTGAGATATGAGATATGAGATTGTAGCCTACTGAATACACCACTTCCTATAAATAATTTACATGCAATCTTACCGAGAAGCAACTTGACATATGAGCAAGTTATGATCCTTGTTTACCGTTAACTTTCTTTATATTTTGGGCATTTTGTATATTTGGGATTTTGGATATCTGTTTAGTGATATATTTAGTTCTATTTATACTCTCACCTTTATTGATAGTTTATATTTTCACTCTTTCATACTTTGTACTAAAATTACTGCACAAGAATTCCCATAAATAAAGTTCTATCTGACATTATCTTATTTTTAAATGATGCCTTGTTAAGCAGTCACTTGCTTGCTTGAAAGATACTAGTACCTAAATGAAACTGCGTACAACAAGGTCACTTTCACTACTGTAAATTGTTGTCTTCATGTTGTTAATAAAGTTCATAAAGTTTTTTCCATTGGTTAACACCTTCACACTATAGTAAAATGAGGAACTTCATTCAGCAGCTGCTTTCACACATGCTGAAGTAGCCTATGACCTGTCTGTTCAGACTCAGTGTTATTTAATATTAATGCATTAATGCCTAAGGGGATGTGTGTGTTTGGAGATCATTTGTCTATCATAATGTTTCTGTAACTGAAGTGGGATGGTAATTATCTTTACATCACAGCTCCTCTCTACTCTCTGGCACCCTCTGCCGACGCATGCTCAGTGACTCCGTAATGTCCTCATTTTGCTGACGTTATACGTACTGTCATGGTCTTAACCGTTAATTAATATTATTGATTTGTTAATTTATCTGGCTTTGAGTTTTGGGAAAAGACCTTGAACAAGTCGTCAGCTGTCTGACGAATCTCTTGTACTGAGGCTGGGTTTTATATTCACTGTATGCAAACAAAACGGCCCAAACAAATAAACAAATATAAAATAAAAAATATATAAAAAACATTTTGGGCTATAAATTATTTGTACACCAGTTTAAGATAAGATAAGATAAGA